CCACCCCTGTCCTTCATATGCTGAATTCCCTACACATTATGCATATGCACTTTCTTCCCTCCTCTGACACTGTATGCGATACCTCACCCACGACTATTAAATCCAAAATCAAATCGTGTACAGTGAGCTACTACTCGCCCGGTACGTCCAAAAATTTTAGTAGTAAGAACAGGAATCACGCCTATCAACATAGTAACGTCTGATCGAATCCTCAGAGCTTGTTAGACCCTTACTCTCCGATTCCTCCCTTGTTTTTTACCCCCAGAGCCCAACACAACACATACTACCATGCGCAGCTTTATGGATGACGTCGACCACGCCGCCCAACGTGTCGGGGCCATGACACTTGCAGGGTTTCTCGGCGGGGCTGCCCACGCTGCTTTCAAGGGCTTCCCCAGGAGGGCCGCGGCCCTGGGCGCCGCCTCTTCTTGCGCCCTCGTCGGAACGAGCCTCTTCGCACTCGAACGGGTCGCAAGCGTGGCAATGCGAGAAAACAACAGAAACGACAAAAGCGACGAGGAACTAGATGCAAGGGACGATTGGCGGTCGACGCTCTCCTCGCACGCCTTTGGCGGCGTCTTTGGCGGGGCGCTGAACGGATACCTGTACCATAGGCAGCCCCTCCGTGGGATGATTGCCTTTACCCCCTTTATGCTCTTCATTGGAATGATCGAGGTAGAGGCCAAGAAGCGGAAGCAGCAGCGGCTCGACGAACTACTGGACCAGCGACAAAACCAAACACAAGCAGCAACTACTACAACACCCGAGTGAACTGTCTTTGTTGTCGTTATTGAACATGAAACCGACATAAGAAATACGGATACCCAATAACGAGACGAGGCGAAACGAAACGAATGGAGCAAGAAACTAGTTTGCTGCAATGCCGTGCACGGCTGCAACCCACAGATGTCCTACTCCGATCGCAGGCAAGAAGAAAGTAATATATCCTCGCTACATCACATCCCGTCGAGGCCCATATGGAATCAATTCGACTCGCAGTCAAGCAGAGCCTCGCTTCTTGTTTCTATCTAGGGATTTCGCAGCGTAGTTGGACTTGGTTTGTGTCGAGTTTTTGATCGAACCGAACTGTGACCCGCCATGGAGACAGAAACTGTGTTCTAATGATATTGCATCGTACCGTTTTCTTAATACCGTCGCCGCATTTCAATCAAACACAACACTGATGATAAGTTTGATTAGCAAAATTGATCACAGAAATTTTGACTCAACATTCTGTGTCTCTCCATAGAGCAAAGTATTTTCGAGCATCATAGCTTTACCTAAAAAAAGTATTCATTCTGCCTTGTAGAAAATCTTTGATGAAATTTCATCGCATTAACCCCAATCTATGTTACTCTACCGTTGTTAAATAGGATAAAAAACAAGCACACCACTAGAGTAGATTTGTACTCCGAGCCCTTCTCCTTGGGGGACACCGCACATACGAGAATAATAATGATAATAATATACAAAGCAAGAAAGGGAGTGCTTCCTGCTGTTCCCAGAAATAGTGGAATCCATTTCTCGGAATTTTTGTGCGTGTGTGCTGTTCTGTGTTGTGCGCGGCCTGGCTGCCTACCTTTGGGTGTGGAGTGGTGTACGAACACGGATGCGCCGATTCGTTTTGTTTTAGTTGTTTGTCTACCCGTTCTACACACTCAGACACACCCAATTTCAATTCTCAACTTGCTGAGCTTGATGTGAGATTGAAATCTTTACTTCGAATTGCTCTGGCTTCCCAACACCTGGAAGAAAGAATTGAAGCGTTCTCCCGAGGCTTTAGTCGCCAGGCCGCCCAGCTTCGAAACAATGTCCATGGGGTTTCGTCCAACGTTCCCAGAGTCGCGGTCGGCGGCCTCGGCGCTGTCAAACTTGGGGTATACTACGGGGAAAAAGGAAGACTTCAACGCTTTACCGTCCTCAAGCCCGTGTCGTCCGAGATCGGACAGAACGCCCCCGCTGCCCCGCTTGTCGTGGTAGACGCTACCGGCCTTGGCCACGGTTCCCCCCAGCACGCGTCGGTAGGAAGTCCAGATGCCGTCAGCGGGTCCGTCGACCTTGTGGATCGTCCTTGGGTGCCAGATGAGCATGTCACCGGGCATCGTTCGGAACTCGAGCATTTTTGTGTTGTAATCCTCCAGTCCGTCCTGTTCAATGTCTACGAAGACGGCCTGTTCGTCGACCACATCGTTTTTGTGGGATCCCTGCAAGTATACGGGAGCTCCGTATTCCTTCGGCGTCTCGTCCATGGTGATCCAGAAGCGGAGGCCCTCCTCCCAAGAAATGGGCCCGTTCTGGTTGTCCTGGTGCCACTTGAAGCCCTTGTTGGGGTTGACCATGAGCAGATCCGTGCTGACTCGGATCTCGTCGGTGCGGCCACATTGCGCAAGGACGTGACCCATCGCGGAGTGGTAGTAAAAGCGCGCAAAGGCACTGTTGGTCTGCCAGACGTTTCGCTGAATGTAGTCGTAGAGTTTGGACGCGGTTCCAGCAAAGGCCCAAAAATGCGGCTCGTCGACCTGGTAGGCGGTGGCCTTGCGCAGGTAATCCACCCATTGCTCGTCAAAGACGCCCTTGATGTGAACCACTCCGTCCCTTTCCAGCGTGGCGATCTGCTCCTCCGTGATGGCAAAGGTTTCGGGTTCCGTCACGTCTTTAACGATTCCGTGAGGCATCGCGAGCCCGGGGTCCTGGAGGCCAAAGTTGTATTCCCAAAGGCCTGGTTCCTTAATAATTTTCTCCTTGGCGGGCGTGAATTCTTCCTCGTCGACGAGACCCGAGCCCACGGCCGAGATGACCTCCCCAATGGGGGCACAGTCCGGTACGGCCGACCGGGAAGACTGGAAGAGATTGCTCGAGCTCTTTGTGGCCGCCGGAAGCCTCTGGCTCGGGACAAAACCGGAGGCCGGGGCTGAGATCGCCAGAACGGCACCGGCAATGGCTAGAAGTTGCGTGTTCGAGTTCGATGGCATGGTTATATTGAGTTTCGCTTTGCTTTTTTCGAATTTAGTGATATGTGTCCCGAGATCTCGACGATTGGAACTACTACGGTGTTGTTTTCGGTGAGCTACCTTGTTTTGTATCAAGGCTAACAGTATTTTAAAATCCTCCTTGGGTATTGCAATGCGTAAGTAGTGTCGGCAATGAGGAACAATGTGGCAGACGAAACTCGAAGCAAGGTCTATCAGCAAGTGGTAATGTGGAATCAGGTAATCTGAGACTAAGACCATGTGTCGTCGTGTCGTTCCCTTGCAGATTGCCGTAGTATCCCAGTAGCATCGGAACAGAAATTCACAGATGGCGTCTCCTTGAATGAATCTAGGCACCCTAAAAGCTAAACTTTGAGGAAAATATCTGGAAGGTTGAAGGTCGGGTAGGATTCCGTTCAAGATTTTAGATTTGTCGCCTCTCTACCTTCAACATTCGAGATGACGAGATCCCATTGGCCGAATCGAATCGTATCGGTGCATCGTTATCACAATCGGCTCGATCACTGCCGGCATATTTTCATTCGACTAGATCGACTCGTATCACTCACTCTCATCGCGCGTCTCCCAGATCCACGCGTGTAATCCGAGATCAGTACACGCGACCGACCGGGTGTCAAAACCGCATTGACCATCTTGAACCCCTGGCCTGCCCCAGACCGGCACCCGCCGACGTCTGGAAATCGCCCGTATCAATTCAATCATACATATTTTAAATATGTACTTAGAATATGATGTGGTATGTCATTCACGAATGAATCGTGTCAAAAAAACAATAATTACGAATTTGGTTACCGCACATACGAGTACAAGTACCTGGTACTTACCAGTTGGTAGTACTTCCTCCGTCCCCAATTAAATGTAAATACGGTAGGATGATGACGGGTAGAGCTTGCGATGCTGTGGATGATCACTCGTACCTGTACGAGTACGTACTACTCGTACTCTTTTGAATTTAGTCTGAAGAGTGATGTTTGAAATGCACAGTGCAGCGCCTACTCGTACGCACCCGGTACCATTTACAATACCCTACGTACGGTCCAGTACGGAAATAAATAAACTGTAGTGTATGGATCAATTACTTCGGTTTTTTGGGCACTAAATTTTTCTTTTCCTCCATTACTCGAACTCATACGCATTCATTTCTCTTCTGTAGGGGAGCAGGAAGTAGAATACTACCATGTGGTTCCTATGGATAATAATACTCGTGGCATATGGGACATTAACCTGGCAATCGCTGCTCGAGGCTTCCGCTCCGGCGGTGCCCTGCTTCGATGAAGGAAACGGCGATGATTCGTCGAATCCAAATTCGTGGAGGTGCTACCGCCCGGCGGTCCGCGTCGGTGAGTCCCTCACCCTGCAGCTCGAGCTCTTCTCTTCGCCTTCCGGTAGCGGAGCTGCGGGTGGAACCATCCCCCGGTGGACCCCCGTGGAGACGTGCCGCATCGACCTGGCGGTCCCCCCGGTCGGGAAACTCCCCGGGCTCGTAACCGATTCGAAAAAAGGAAGTGGAATCGGAAGCAGCTCCGATGGTTCCGCAATGCCCAGTAACGGCAGCGACAACACCAATGAATATCGGGACGAAAAATCTTCAACGAAACCACAAGAGGGGAACCAGCGGTGTGAGGTGATATTTTCGAAAGAGGCACGGCATAGATCGAGTATACAATCCGAGGTCCAACCACTCAAAGCTAGGTTCGTGGTGCTTGCTCCTTTGGGAGGTGACAACAACGGTCGGGTGAAAATCGAAACCATGGCTCCCTTTTTCTTGACCCGCGTCGAAAAACGCGATCCCAATTCCATCATGAGATTACTGATGAGTAATCCGAATCCGGGGGCACCCGACAAGGACAGCGGAACGCAAGTGGAAACCTGTCGGTCCGATTCGACCGAAAGCAACAATTGTACCATCGGCAGTAACACCGGAGACAACGACAGTAACAAAATAATGTGGATACCCTTTGTGAAATTTGGACGAGCCCCCGTACGGATTCGATTTGTGGCCGAGGAACGGGGCTACGCCTTTTTGCAACGGGCCGACGGGATCCGCCTCAAAGCCTTGAATTCCACTACCTACACCCCTTTGCTTTACGTCGACGAGCTCTCGCTGCAGCGGGGTGCACAAATCGAGCTCGCACCCTTCGAAGCCAACAAGCCTGCCTTTGAGCTTCAAATAAAGCTCGGATCCATCTCCCCGATGGTAGATACGCTATATCGACAGGTCCAGGACGCCTTCGAAACGATCGAGGGTTCTTTCTTCCAGGGTAGCGAGCTGGACGAGCTTAGGTACTTTTTGCAAGATGAAAACCTCTACCGCTTTGCCCTCACCAATATTATATCGACCCTGCACGTGTGGCTGGACTACCTGGCATTCCGCGATGAAGTTCGCTTCTATCGCGGAAAGCAGAACCTGTCGGGGGTATCCCCTTCAACTGCTGTTACGAAAATGATCTGCTCCATGATCATCTTGCTGTACCTGATCGACGGAGGAGGTACCAGCTGGATTGTCTTATTCAGCCTGATATTATCCTTTGTCGTTGACGCTTGGAAGGTTCTTAAGTTGCTCCGGCCCACCCCCACAAGGAGCTTTCCGTTCGTGAAGATCCGCGAGTTTGCCTCGAAACAGGAAGAAGAAATAGCCGAGTACGATCGCATTGCCTGTCGTAGGCTATCGATGTTGATCTATCCGGTGGTGGTCTGCTGGTCCATTTACGCGCTCAAGAACTACGAATATAGATCATTGTACAGCTGGTTCATTTCAAACGCGGCGAACGGTGTCTATACCTTTGGATTCATATCCATGTGCCCACAGCTCTATGTAAACTACCGCCTCAAGAGCGTCGCCCACTTGCCCTGGAAGGTCTTTTTGTACAAGATTTTTAGCACCTTTGTGGATGACGCATTTGCGTGGCTCATCGAGATGCCGCTCAAGCATCGCCTCATGACACTGCGGGACGATGTGGTCTTTTTGTGCTTTTTAGGGCAGGTGTACATGTACCGAGTGGATAAGACCAGGAGCAACGAGTTTGGGTACTCGTACGGAGAAGACGAAGACGACACGTCCCAAGAGCTAAACACCACCGAAGGAACCGACAAAGCCTCTCCGAGTGATTCAACAAGGAAGCACAGAAATGAGGTTCCTAGCAGCAGCAAGCTCAAGGACGAATAAAAGATTGCATAGACAATGATGGATTGGTCATCAGCCATGCAAATAGTGCACCAAACTCACATGCTTCAGTAGAGCAGGAAGCTGGTATTGTTTTCTTTTGCTTTTTTGCTTTGTCTCTTTCGATTGTACATAATAGTAGTTTAGTGTAACTTAATTAATCTACTCTTCTTGGTCTTGACTGCCTGCTACGGCTTCACCTGCGGAAGGATTGCCGGCGGCACTTTTCCATTCAGCCGCAAATTTCTTTAGGTACTCGCTTTCTTCGATCGCGCTCCAGGTTTTTGAGCTGATACTACTATCTGTAGCCCCTTCGGTGGATGGTTTGAGAACACCAAGGCTTGCTAACACCATAATAACATTTCGAAGATGATCTGCGGTCAATTCGTTCGTGGCCAAAGCCATCTTCTCACCCGCTGGTGTTTGCGATATTGGGTTGTCTTCCGAGGAATCGTCTTTTGAAATGTCCCTGATGACGTCGAGTGTCGGTACCCACAAGGCCTCGAGAAGGGAAGCCTCCGTATCAAAAATACTTTTCATGTGGTGGCGAAGCGGCTTGAAGATAAGGCTGATGCACAATTCAATCTCGGTCATTATCCCATCAAACTGGTCCGGATTTCTTAGCCCCCTCCTGAGTTTGATAATGCGCTCCCCGGCCAGCGGAATGCAAATCTTCCCAAGTACTTCGCACAGGATGGATACCGGTAGCTCGCCTGCTTGCTTATCAAGGAACGAATCTGTTAGGATAGAGAGCGCGTGTTGTCGAACAGTCTATAAAAAGAAAGAAAAAAGGGTGAGATCTCCAAACCCCGTGTGCATCGCTTGTCAAAAAAAATAGCAGACACGAATTTCAATAAGACAAACATCGAACTTACAGGATTGGGACTCAAATTTGATGCATCGGCGATGTTCTCAATAACAGGCAACCAATTTTTCTTCCAAAATAAATCATCCTTCTCCGCTTTCGCAGTACCTTCGATTATGCTGTTGAGGACCTGAAGCAAGTCGAGACCAGCAATACTCAACTTCGGACAGTTTCTTTTGTCACCGGTGATCACCAGAAAGAGGATACAACCACTAATAACCGAAGGGACCTGAGTTTTTGCTTCAGATACATTTAGTAAGTAGTGAAGCGATCGGTAGACCTGTATGGATGGATCATCGTCGGCCAAACCTACAGAGCGCCCGGTCTGCATCGAGGGAATCGATGGAAGTGATGCACCATGGAAGACACTCCATCTAATCAAGGATAGGATTCCATGCCAACCTTGTTCTGAGAGCTGAGAAGAGTCGTCGACACACCTCGTGATTCGCCACAAACCCTCTCCGATGTGTCGATCAAAAGCATCCAAAAGACACAGCTTCTCCTCTTCACTTGCACACGAATCCAAAAGGGACCAGGTCGACAAAATATCGTTTGCAATCTCACCACGTTTCAGTGAGAAACATGAAATTCGCAGAAGTCCAGTAATAGCCTTCTCCATTGCGCCACTCATAGTCGAGAACATTTCCTGTTCATTCTCTACAAATGTCTTCGTTAGATTATCCAACCGATTGTAGTAATGCTTGCTTAAATGGTTGCACCAAAGCATCGAAAGGCGATCTCTATTCTTGAGAGCAATCTCGCAAATCAAGACTTCAGCAAAGGCCTCGGAAGCAGGGGATAATGGAAACTCATTTTGTTCAGCTCCATTACGATTGCTCCCGTTGTTGGTACCCTCTGTGATCAAGCTCATCAACGCTTCTAAGAGGTTGCTAATGCCCATGTCATCCATGAATCTACTGTCGGAAACCAGTCCAACAAAATCGCAAGATTTTGAAAGCCTTCTTCGTACCCTTGCTCGGGGCGTCAGCTGCGTTCTTCGAGTATCTTCAACTCTTTCGAGTCCCGTGACTGGCATTTCTAGTGCTTGGCTTATCAGAATGTCCTCTTGGATCAACTGGCTTTCAAATTGTCCACCTAGACTAAGATGATTGTCAGAACGCACGATGAAATCCTCTTCACCATCCGCAGATGTATACTTCTCATCCTCATCGTCGCTAGGAGCGATATCATTCCAGACAAGATGGTCTTCTTTTCCGTGACTCGTACGCAAGGCTTCATTAGAAGTCGAATCGTTGGGTTCTTCCAACGACGGATCTTCTGCACTTCCAAAGAGCATGTTTCCCATGGAGGCGAAGATGCCAGCATTAGGTTTTTGCGGAGATTTTTTTCCATTACCTTTCTTGAGGAGTTTCATCGTCCATTCACGACGGCCCTGTTCCGTCAACAGATCAGAGTCGCTCTCTTTCAGGATCCCCTTTCCTGCTTTTGTCGCGCCACCAAGCATTTTGAGATCACGCAACTCAAAAATCATAGCCCATATATTCTTCCAGCATTCTTGATCCAATTCACTGCTTGCGTCACGAATCATGTGCAACGCGATGATAGCTGCACCCTGTGCCTCAACCGAATTAGCAAAAGCCCAAGACCGACCCGCACCACTTGAAACATAACTCAAAAGACCAGAACATTTGCACACGTGCTTGAAAACCTTGCAGAAAATGTCGTTACGACCTAGCTGCCGAACTCCCATGAGCATTTCCCATGCTATGTCCATTCCGAGACGAGCACCCTGTGCACCGTGCATACCACTCCGTGCACCAGAGACAGTATCTTCTACCCTCCATAGGGCGCTTATGGATGACATGATAGGCAAGTAAACTTGCTCAAGCACTAGCTCAGAAAGATCCTCGGCGTCAGTTGTGCTTAATGCCTCATCGGAATGTTTTTCCTCCTCTGCAGATCCTCTAAGGACGTCTTTCCAACGCTCCACTGTCATGGATCCATCTGCTCCCTCGCCCTCTGTCTTGATCTCCTCCTCACGGATACTATCATAAATGGCCTCGAGATATTCACGAGGCAACTCCTTTCCACGATCCGTGATATCCTTTCCATAATCGGTATTGTTTCTAACAAAATCGGATTTCTTCATCCTTCGATCTTCCCTGATGTTGTCGTTGTGCTGATCGGTGTTGAGCATGATAATGCTGAACGACAACAAGAAAGCAACGTCACTCGCTCGTTTTGGGTCATCTGAAAATAATTTGAGAGCCCCGTTGGTGCTCTCTTCGCATAGATTCCCACATGAATCTGCGAACGCCTGAAGAATACGGTCAATCTGTTGAGCTTCTCCTGGGAGTCGGAAAGAAGCCAAGAACATTCGAAGACCATCTAACAAAGACTGGCGGTCAAAATGAAATAGAGAACAGAACTGCTCCAAAACTTCTTTGTGAAACCAATCCCTCTCCCACACTTTCGGCGATTTTCCTGCAACAGCTGGCTTTCCAAGTTCGCCCAAGTACACGCCAACCTCTTTCTTGTCCAAACCAACAACAAGACCGTTCCTGAGAAAAGATGCAACGCTCCTAGGGGTTACAGGCTCCGCTATGATTCCGGAGTTGACGAGAAATTCAATTCCCTTGCTAGATTTGGTGTTGAAAAGATGGGCAGCCTTTCTCAGAAGGCGCTTCTTTGATTTGATATTCCTTAGATGGTGTGAAGATGAAATACGATTCAAATCGGAAAAGGACTGAGGAGCCGGAGAAACGATGCTTTTCATTATGGTTTCACGGCTACGACGCTCTTTTTTCGTAGTTTCGCTTGCACGATCGTCCTGGAACAGGCACTTCATACTTCCAATGATGCTTTCGGCACATAATTCTTTGAGACCGGGAGGGACCTCGCGGAATACATCCTCTGTATTAGGAGTATCTGCATCCGTTGGACTATCCCCAGTCGGTGGAGTCGGTGGGGTCGTCGTCGTTGTGGTCTGACCCTCGGCGCTTTGTGCTTCGTTCTGATTACTTGTTTTCTTCTCTTGGTTGCTGACGTCAAATGCATTAGTGAGTGACTCCATGCCGTGAAGCGACACCTCCATGATGTCCCCCTCTTGGTCAACTTTCGACCCGACGCAGCGACACAACTCGATCATCAAGCCCACCCCTACGTCGGAGCGCTTGATATTACAGTCATAAGTAGCAAAAAGAGTCTCTAAACACCCGCCATCGCCTTGGGCAACCGTCTGGCGATTGTCGTGTAAGCACATGATTTCTGCGAGCGATTCAAGGATAATTTCGATCCCGGCATCGAAAGAGAGATTCGCGTGAAACGAGTCAGAATCGGTTGGATTTTTTCGTTTCCGCAAGAGAGCAAGCGCTCGCTGATAAAATCCAGTAAAGATAGCTTCGAATTGTGGGACTAAGTGACGACGTAAATTCACACTCGTCCAAAGAGTAGACATTGTAGAGCAAATTTCAGATAATACTTCGAGTGAAATGAATCCTGGAATTATGCTGGGGGTATCTTGATAGGCCCAAATAGCTTGCCCAGTCAGGAGTAAACTCAGACACAAATCGTCTTGAACGATTTGTAAGAGACCCCGCTCCTCGTCTGGAGATGCCGAGGCCGCTGCATCTGCGAACACTTGGTTCGAAACATCTTTCAAGCCATAATTGAGTGCGCACCTTGCCAGTCGTAGACACAAGACCCGGGTGGCATCGTGTGCCATCTGAGCTTCTCTCGATGCATCGTCATCACCCCCCACCAATGGTGTGTGCAAAAGTTGGTTGACCAAAAATTCCAAGATGTAACGACCCGCAGGATCATTCAAATCATCAAGATCCTTGAAAACTGTTCGGACGATGGAAGTAAGAACATCCTCGAAGTGGTAACAAAGCGCAGGAGAATGGACAAACGTGTTGCGTGTTACGAACACGGTGTTGAATGCATCCATCAAAGTTTCTATTTGAATCGATCGACGGTCGATCGTTACCATCAAGGCAAGCAAATCAGCGATGGCCATTTCGACGGCTTCGTCTGCCCCCGCATCGGTTTGTTCAAATTTGCAATTCAAAACACCCTTTGTTAGAGGTTCCATAACAACTCCAAACCCAGGTTCATGAGAGGCAGTTCCTCCAAGCGGTTTGAGACTACCCCGTTCCAATAATCTGTGCAAAGCTCGCAACGCAACCAAGGTATGGGGACCTGCCGCTCTAGGGTCCATGACCACGGCCAAGAAGGGACGAGCATACGGACCAACATCTTGGTGTTCGTGCACAGCATCAAAAGGCACCAGGTGTTGCGCTTGGCCCTGTGGTTCTACAGTTTGATCCATGGATGGACTAGCGGTGGGTTGCTTTGTCGGCTGTTGCCCCTGTGGTTTTTCAACAAAAACGGTGCTGCTTCCCTCGTCCGATCTATCTTCGATATCTTGCGGCAATGGTGGAGGCGGGGGAGGAGGAGGTGGTGGCGGAGGAGGAGGGGGAGGAATCTGTTGTGACTCGACCGGTGGCGAGTTTGTTCCTTCAGCGATCGCTGCCGTACTAATCGCATCACCTGTGCCACAACTGCTAACACTTGCAGCAGCTGGTGGATCCAATGCCGAAGACGCCAATGGCGACAAKGGTGCTGCCTGGGCCGGCTTATTAGGAGAGCTGTATCCATTGTTGCCAGTTGTGTTGTAAGCGTTGGAGGCGTTGATGTCAGGTGCCAAAATCGACAAGTCGGTAGACAGAATGGTCTTTACCCGATGCCGCAAATCGGTCAGGTCTTGCGCAAGATCGCCTCGCGCTACGTTGGGAGGTCCTCCCCGCAATGAGGTCAACACAACCCGAGCTTCTTCGCACAAATGACGAGAAGACTCTAAAATTGCGTCGACATTAATCTCCGTCGCAACGGAGTGCAGTGACTCGGCACTTCCATGGTGAGAGTCATTCATCGCTGAAAGAAAACAACGGTGGTTCGTTTGCCTCGGACGGTATGCAGCCTTCCCTTTTCGCTGTTGAGATTGATTGGCCTATTTTATTTGGATACCCTGGCTATGGGTTTGTCTTGTATAGCCTGCGTTTGGTGGGTGCAAGAAAGAGGACGGGCCTTTCCTTACAACTCAAACGTACGGCACTGCAACAAAAATAACCGAATACCAACTTTTCGGGCGTGCCCTTGCTTCATGTTGCGAATCGATCGTCCAAAAGCGCGTTGTGCCTCTTTTTCAAATTTCCAACAGGAGAGACATAATTTAATGTCCGCTCTTGCTTGGGTGCTCGGTGCTCAACGTACATTTGTGTACGATTTCTACAGGATGAGTGGTACGAGTACGATCACTCTCATGGTACTGTACGGTAGTACTACTCGTACATACTTCGACGTATTTTTTACTATTTCTGTACAGTAATTCGTACTACTAGTACAGGTTGTTGCTCTATGAGTACGTATATTCCATCATAGTACATAGAACATACAGCACAGCACGCACAGCACGCATAGCATAGCATATCTGTAATGTAGGAGGGCAGAGAGTCGCAGGCATACAGTACGAGTAGGAGTACTCGTTCTACCGTTACTACGATAGAAGTACTTCTACTCAAAAATTCGCTCGCCTTGCATTCAAAAACCAATTTCCTTCAGTAAGGTAGGTACGTACTGCTACGAGTACGTACGTACTCGTAGGTATTGCCAATTGCCAGTCCAGTGTCCAGTCCGTCTGCGGTCTTGCCAGCAAAATTTACCCAAGTTGTGTCTCGATTATTAGTAGTACCGTAATTCTTTCTGTTGTGAACACGAGCCTCTTTGTTTGCTTCGCTGTGATTGAAACTGTACTCTATCGTCCTTAGGGGATAGGTAGCAGCTAGATCAGCCAGTGTACACCCAACAACTCGCGCCCCACCCGTATTTATACCAAACACAACTTCAGTCATGGCTACCGATATATGCATCCGGCGTCTGACGAAGGAGCTGAAATTGCTCATGAAGGACCCCATCAAAAACCCCAAGATCACGGTGGCCGCCGACGAAGCGAACATCTTGGAGGTTCACTACGTAATCGAGGGATCAGAGAAGACGCCGTACACCGGGGGATTTTATCACGGCAAGCTCGTGTTCCCAAAGGATTATCCGCTCAAGCCTCCCAGCGTGATAATGATGACGAAAAACGGGAGATTCCAACCAAATCGGCGGCTGTGTTTGTCGATGAGTGATTTTCATCCGGAGGTATGTTTATGTTTTCGCCTCGACAATGATTTTGGAATTCAATGAATTTGCGGCTGTTGTACTGCAATGTCCCCGGGAAGGATGTTTGGATTTAGAGATTATCGATTCAAGCGGTTTTTTCGTTCCTTTCTTACAATTTTTTGTTCGAACCAATCGTGGCGGCTACAACAATAACAGAGTTGGAACCCTATGTGGAGCGTTAGTACGATTCTTACTGGTCTCTATTCTTTTATGATCGAATCGGCACCTACACTCGGAAGCATCGAGAGTTCAAGGAGCCAAAAAGAGAAGTTTGCGAGGCTGAGCCTCGACTACAACGTTCGCAATCCCACCTTTTGCAAGCTGTTTCCAGAGTATGTGGAACTACACAAGGAACGGCTCGCAGCTAGGCAAAAGGCACTGGGAATTTCGGAGGAGGACAAGGTTGCAACAATTTCGCACGAATCCTCCGATCGGTTCGGAGCGAACGAATTGGCAGAGAACAATGGATTGTTTGCCACGGCCGCCGTGCTAATTTCTGTGTTGTCGATCTTCTTTGCTATGAGATTCTTTTGAATGACAAGCATGAATCACACAACCGAGGGAAGGAACATTTCATACAACAATTTGCTTCGAAAAAAACCGTGTACATTAATACAAACAATAATAATAGAAACCATGTTGAGGACAGATTCTAGGTTGAAGTCTAAAGACCATCCGAACCACAACAAAGCGTTTTGCGAGTCGACCAATCACGTCCATAACCCGACACCGGCCTAATTTATGGAAAATTTAACATTTTAAAAACTGTTGTACAGGGGAGAGCGAGTATGGATTGTGGGAATCAACATATTTGTCTTCTTTCGAAACCGATGCAATAGTTTTTCATTGTCTGTGTTCGGCGCAGGCAATTGCTATAATTCTCTTTGCCTTTCAATTACGACTAGCCTGAAATCATAGCAAACTGAAATATCATTGTTAGCGGGCTATGCTTAAAACGATCGACTTTGATGGCAATCCGTCAACTGAATGGATCCCTTCATCAAATTGTAGTGCTTTCATTCTGTGTGGATGCTTTTCTACATTACATGTGAGAACACAATTGCAATTTGTTGCTTCATGTGTATATCCTGATGGTCCTTGCAAGTCAATCTCAAGTTTGGCTGCAATTTATCAGCCATATTGAAAGCAAATGAGGAGGTGGAAAACTAATCATAAGATTTGTGAAAAATTAAACTTATCATAAATGTATTTGTGGATATGTTCCTTTCTTTTTCGAAATTGCTGTGTAGCAATTGCCTGCTTCCGTTGCCTCATATTCCTCATCATCATTCTCTAAGGATTTTTCTTGAGTACCCCCTTAGTCAGACTTCTTCTGATTAGAAGCAGGTGTGGTCACCCAAGGGACAAGGAAGGAGAAGGACTTCTTTGGGAAAGAGATATTGATAGAAAGTAAATGTTTCTTGTGCTCCTAGAAAATCACAATCCTTGAGGAAATCTACTTTGGCAATCACATTTCAGCTCTCAGAAATATTTTTGTAATCTACTACTATTTACCAAGTATATTTTGAAGAAAATGTTTCCCTTCTTGTGACTTTGAAACATTTCATGTGCGCAACTCCCCAGTTATGGGTGAGATACTGACATTGGAAAGTGCCAGATTTATGGTACTGCATGGTGTTTCTTGAATGACATGGAAAATTTCAGTTCTGAAACTGTTTGTACTAATCGGACTCAATCTTGACCATGTCTCATTTACTGGACAGCAGGTACAACTCATGAATTGTCTCCCAATCTTTATTCTGGTGTCTTTGACTCCAGCTTTCAATTACTACTACCAACATCATTTTCCAATGCCTTTCTTTGCCTTCAATTCACAATGATGTTGTCATCAGGCAGACATCAGGAACAATAAAAAGTACTTCATGTGATGAATATGTCATGGAAAACTTGTATTAGTAGTAATAGCTTTTATATTATGCTGGAAGAAGGCCAGAATACTCTCTAGAGCAAGTTAAACAAGAAAAACCTTTGAGAGATGGGTGCTACTCTCAAACCAATGATGAAAGTGCTAGTAGTAGTCTTACTAAGATGAGCCTCAGGAAGATTTTGTTGACAATGTGGAAATGATTTGTGATCCAGGTCAAGTTTAGTTTACACATAGATACAATAAGCTGAAAATTGACACTTCTTCAATTCTTGGTACACATGATTAGAATGTTTTTTGCACAAATGCGATAGAACACTCTGCTGAAACCATCCAAATCACCACCATATTCAAGTAAATTTGCACCTGGCAAGACAGGTTGTATATCACTGGTTCCACTGCTGTAGATGATAGACAAAATCTTACCCAAAATATGAATCAAATTACCAAGCTGCTGGCAGCAAGTAGTAGTGTTGTGAATCAGGTCACAACAAAGAACAATTTTCAAGAGATCAATGATGTTGAAACCATCAAATACCACCTGCACTTAAAGCTTTGAAAATATCAGAGACTATGAAGCAAATTTCAAAGTGACAAGGACCAAGAAAATGCAATACCAGATTTTTCTGGTGCTTTTTTTCACAAAAAATCTGTACACTTGCCTGATTGATAAAGAAAAAAGAGAGACTCTAGGAGGAGATTTGTAGTAATTTCTGCAGTGAATAGTATGAACAATGAAGATAAGAAAATAAATATGCACTAAAAAAATTTGAAGAAATCCATTGTTTATCATTACTGCTGCTGGTGTAAGAAGATGTTTTGCAAACTCTTAATGGAAAGGAGGCAAAGAGAGACGTGTAATGTAAGCCTCAGAGGCTGAAGATGTACTAGGCTGAGGGATAATTGTAGTCTAGCAAGGCAGAAGCAACAATATTGGTACAAGAAGAACTGGTGCCTGGATAGACTGCCAAATAAACTTCAAACTCAGTAAGAGGGCTTGGAATCCATGCATTGTTGTGCTTTATAGGAAATATCTAGGAGCTTTGTTTGTTGTTGTTTGACATGAGTGCCAGAAACAACTGCATTCTTATGAACACCAGAACTGAATTTTTTCTGTAGATCTAGTACTAGGAGATCTAGTACTAGAGAAGTTGGATTGGGATTTGGATTTTTTGTTGCCTAGTACCACAAGTGTTGGAAGCAACAGTATGGCAAAAGAAGGACTGGTGCGTATAGGGGGGGAGGGGGGATAAAGAACAATAGTAAGTAATATCATATTATTTAGCTTTGTGTTTAAGAAGAGGAGGCACTTAGTAGGTGGCACCTCAAAAGAGGCATTACAAACATATTAGTACTAGTAATACACCAGAAGTATTGTGGTTAACTGGTAATGATTAAAAAAAACTCTCTCAAGGTGGTTTAGTTTGATCAGAGGGTAGTGTCAGGGGAGCCAGATACTGATCTGGCATTCAATTCTGCTTATGTTGTCTCATATTGGAATGTGCACTACTAAGACCAGCCTATCCTTTGCAACACACTCCAGATGTTCTTGATTACTTTTTGTCAATTAGTGGAATTATTGAGGGATTGGATTTTTAGTTGTAGGGTGATAGTCCCCAATTCAACATTTGTCACAGTCCTATCATGTCATTAATTAAAACATGGAATAAGCTGAGTTCATCTGGCAAAGAATATTTTGCTTTTATATCTCTAGGTTACCTTATTTCTTTGGGGGAAGGCAAATCACAAGAAGTTAATATGCTTCATTACTTTGGTAAATTAACTTAATGAATTGCTTTGTTAATTAACTTTATTAATTCTTGCTTGACTTTCATTCAAGTACAGGCTTTATTGTTCATTTATTGAGTTACTTAGTAATTTAATTATCTAGTAGGAGATTAATAAACTTAATTCATTACGTTAATTAACAAGTGTATACTGCTGTGTCCCCCCCCCAAAAAAAACTTTGATTCCTGAATACCCACAAATGCAACTGCCTACTACTTTCCCCACTGTTCCTAGCGAAGTTAAATCTTGCTTTCAATTGCTGTGCAAGTATTAAAAAATATGCAATTAGGGGCTCTCACATGGAAGTTGAAGTAGCATGCTGGATGCCTCTGTAGATTGTTTTCTTGTAAACTCTGATGTAGTACAAGTATGACAGGGAAGTGTTGGTGGCATTATGTATGAAGAAGGCTGTGGGGTCAAACTGAAATACTAGAAATGCTTCAGACAGTCTGGCCTGTTGTTGGAGCAAAAACAAGGGACAGATTTTCTTTGTCAACCATGCTCTGTAGTGCTAGAATGCTGTTGCCATGAGACAGTGTGACCATACTAAAGATMATGATGATTGTGTTGCTCCCTCAGGGAAACACATGAGCTCTCCAAACACCACTGGTGAAAATGAGCTATTGGAAATCTGGATCAAATATCTAGTACTGAGAGAGGTGGCCCACCATAAAGAGACGATGACAACCAATATTTGTTTGAAAGTGTATGACAGGGTGAAAGACGCTCCTGGCGGAGGACAACAAGTAACTTCACGACCCTTGTGAAACTATTTGGCAACACGGCTCCAGCTAGTAGATTGATTGCCAGTGTGATCAATGTTTATTCTCAGGGATTGGAGAGTGGTTCTATGCCAAGACAGTTGGCTGGAATATGAACAGTGGAAAAGACAAAGATTGTAGTGTTGCTACTTCTAGTATTAGTAGTAGTAGTAGTAGTAGCAGTAGTAGTAGCAGTAGTAGTAGTAGTAGTAGTAGTAGTAGTAGTAGTAGTAGTAGTAGTAGTAGTAGTAGTAGTAGTAGTAGTAGTAGTAGTAGTAGTAGCAGCAGTAGCAGAGACAAAATAGAGAATGGAATTGGTATTTCCATTTTAAAATCCATTTTAAAATGGTGACAGTGGTAGTGGTAGGGTCTAATCACTGCATGATAATTGTTTAGCAGTGGTGCTGAGGACATTCCTTTCAATTTGGTTGTGCTTTCTCCTGTAGGATAGCCACTCCCACTGGTTGATGGCAATAATGAGAGATTTCTTGACTGGGGGGCAGGTTATCCATACAGTATTCTTCAGGAGAGGAAAGATCTGGGGACTTCTGTTTTGGTTGTTATTGTCTGACACAAATGCCAGAAACAACAGCAGTAAAAAACTGAACATGTTTTGAGCAGTAGTAGTACTACTAGATCTAGTACACTAGTAGGAGCATTAGAACTGGAGCTGGAACAGGGCTTTTGTTGTTGTCATCTGGTTACAGAGGGAGGTGCCACCCATTAGAGTAGCCAGAACAAGCATTCTTCTCCTTATGGTTCTCGCCCAAAAAGGACCTCCTCTTTTGGTTCACAAGGTTAAACATAACATTAAGAATTTTGGGTTGTTGTTGTCCTCAGCTGACACAAATGTTGGAAACACCAGCACCAGTATCATTCTTATAAAAAGGAATACTACTACTACTAGTAGTAGGAGTGATGGGAGATACTACTGCTGAGGAAAATTCAAAGTGATTCCCATCTACTAGTACTACTAGTAGGGGCATTTGTTTGTAGTACAAAGGAGGAGGTCTACTGTTGGGTGACTTAATTGAGTTACTTCTTGGGGCTGCTTAGATTGGGGCTTGTTTTTTGTTATCCATTACAAATGTCAGAAACCACAATAGCATCACGGAAATGGCCTCAGCCATGCATCTGGTTGTCTGTGAACACAGGAAGTGCCTCCAATGAGAGGAGAGCAGAGAGTAGTAAGACGAT